CGGGCGCGGAGGTGGGGGGCGCGGGGCTTCCCTCCCCCACGAGGGCGGCAGTGGGGGGCGCCGGGCGCGCGGGCTTACCTTCCTCCGCCGACTTCATGGTGCCGCCGGCGGGCGGCGCGGGCCTCAAAGTTTCTCCGCTCCCGCAGACAGCAGCCGGAGGGCCGAGTGGAAACTTGGAAGGGCCTGGAAAACTGGTACTTGGCATCCACGCGGCGGCGGCGGCGGGGAGCAGGAGGAGGAGCGGGAGCAGCGGGAGGAGCGGGCGCCCTGCGCCGCCGCCCGGGGTCGGGTCTCCGCGGGAAGGCGGACCTCTCCCTCGGCGGACGCGCGCCGGCCTGGGCTCAGCGCCGCGCGCCCTGGAGAAATGTCATTGAGGGGCGTGTGCGTGCGTGGCGGGCAGAGCTGCGGCCTGGGGACCTGAGCGGGGTGGCAGGGTGGCGGGGGCTCGGAAGTGTGCGCCCGCGCCCCGGTCCCCGCGCCCGGCCGCCCGATCCGGCGCGGTGACTGTGCCGGCGAGTTCGGAGTCTCTAAGTCTCGCTCTGACGCAGGGCCGCACTCTGCCTCCTGCCTTTTTAAAGCTGGAAAACACCTCCCCCGCCTCCCCGCCGCCCGGCCGCTCCCGCGCCCCCGGCCGCCCTCTGCGCTTCTCCCGGCCCCGCGCCCGCGCCCTCGGCCCCTCCGCCCAATGAAACTGGCCGCGATGATCAAGAAGCTGTGCCCGAGCGACTCGGAGCTGAGTATCCCGGCCAAGAACTGCTACCGGATGGTCATCCTCGGCTCGTCCAAGGTGGGCAAGACGGCCATCGTGTCGCGTTTCCTCACGGGCCGCTTCGAAGACGCCTACACGCCCACCATCGAGGACTTCCACCGCAAGTTCTACTCCATCCGCGGCGAGGTCTACCAGCTCGACATCCTCGACACGTCCGGCAACCACCCGTTCCCGGCCATGCGGCGCCTCTCCATCCTCACTGGTGAGCCGGGCGGGCGGGGCAGCGGGCGCGGGGAGGGAGCTGCGCACCGGGAAGGGCGGAGACCCCTCGTCCCAGGGCGCCCGGCGGGGTCGAGCTGGAGGCGCGCTCCGCCCCTCCGCCGCCGCGGGTCAAGTTTTGCGCGCGGAGAGGTCAGCGCGCCCCGCGCTGGGCTGCTGGAGCTCCGTTGCCAGGCGGCCGGGCGGCCCCTAGGTCCGCCCAACTTAGTCGTCCTCTTGGCAGCCGCCCTCACCTTGTCCTTTCCTGCTGTGTCCCCATAGGAGACGTCTTCATCCTGGTGTTCAGCCTGGACAACCGCGACTCCTTCGAGGAGGTGCAGAGGCTCAAGCAGCAGATCCTCGACACCAAGTCTTGCCTCAAGAACAAAACCAAGGAGAACGTGGACGTGCCTCTGGTCATCTGCGGCAACAAGGGTGACCGGGACTTCTACCGCGAGGTGGAGCAGCGCGAGATCGAGCAGCTGGTGGGGAACGACCCCCAGCGCTGCGCCTACTTCGAGATCTCGGCCAAGAAGAACAGCAGCCTGGACCAGATGTTCCGGGCGCTCTTCGCCATGGCCAAGCTGCCGAGCGAGATGAGCCCGGACCTGCACCGCAAGGTGTCGGTGCAGTACTGCGACGTGCTGCACGAGAAGGCGCTGCGGAGCAAGAAGCTGCTGCGAGCGGGCGGCGGCGGCGGCCCGGGCGACGCCTTCGGCATCGTGGCGCCCTTCGCGCGCAGGCCCAGCGTGCACAGCGACCTCATGTACATCCGCGAGAAGGCCAGCGGCGGCGGCCAGGCCAAGGCCAAGGAGCGCTGCGTCATCAGCTAGGAGCCCCCCAACCCCCGCGCCGGCGACGTATCCTAAAAAGGACCTTTTTGTTTAAAAGTCCAATCTGACGTCGGGGCCAGCCCCGGGCCGCGTGTGCGCGCTGACTGCGTCTTCCTTCCCCGTGACGGGCCCGCGCACCAGGGAGGCACAAACGAACCGAGAAGGGACCGTCACCTGCTCTGGAAGCAAAGAGGACTGGCTAAGACCGGGACCCCCCACCTCCGATTCCTCCTGGGCGCCGCCGCTCCCGCGACTTGGGGGGCATGGGCCCAGCAGAGGGTGACTTTGTCTTTTCACAAAGAGCTAAGAATGGGGAGGGGGTGGAAGTTAATCATCCACTGTTGAGCTTCGAGAAACCCGTCCTGCCGGCTGTAGCATCAGGACAAGCGGGGCATTATCTTGTCTGTGATTCGGAGTTGCCATGACAGCTGGCGAAAGCCTTCGCCCTCCTGAAACTGAGGGGGTGTGGGTCAAATCATAGCCAAGTGACCTGTTTACATGTGTGTGAAATTGCACAAAGGAAAAACAAAACATAAAACTTGCACTTTAATAGTAGTTCTGGTATCATGGACGTGAACAAAATCTTATCCAGGTGTTTATACTGTGTGTGTGAGATACTCTTTAGTTGTTATTGGCTTTTTAATATAAAATAAAATAAAACAGAAAACGGCTTTCTTTGCTTTTAGAAATGGCTACAGGGGGAGGGTGAGAAGGGAGGGGCCAGGCTTCTGCTCCTGTGGAAATAGACACCTCCCCCAGACCTGGAAGAGAACCCTGGCCTTCCAAAAGTAGCTTCAGCCCTTCTGGGAGAAAAGGCTCCAAAGCAGCTCCCAATGACCCAGCTAAAGCCCCTCTATTTGGGGAAGGGTTCCTCAGAAAGCCAGCACCAACACAGACGATGTCAGGGTCCTCCCTCAAGATGCATCTTTCCAGCCACGTACCTGCTTCCGTTCCCCTGGGCCCAGCCGTTGTGTCCTATACTCACTGCCAGCCCAGAGAGACAAAAAGTGTCAAACCTGAACTTCTCAGATGGTCTGAGGTGTCACTCAGGCCCCGCTCTCAGAAATAAGGAAATGGAGCCTTGAGAGACTGATTTGGCGTTAGGCTGGGGCAGGACCCTGGTCCTCCGACTCCTCGGAGCCTGCCACATGGCTGTCTGGAGACAGTTAAAATCACCTGTCCTCCTGCGCCCTTTCAGCTCCAGGAAGCACTTGCTGCCCCGGGGGCTGGGGGGGGGAGAGTGTCCAGCACCCTTCTCTGCCTTGCTGTCTCCTTTTCTCAGCAGTTGAGGGGAAGCCAGTATTGTCCCAGGGGAGGGATTTCAACCACGCTCTGGTGAGTGCCGCGCCCCACCAGGACTGAACCCACCTCCACAAGGAGGGATGGCCTGGGGGGCCAAGCACAGGCAGGCAGGATGACCCCCAGGCCAACTGAACCTTTGGGGAAGGACAGGAGCCTCTCCTGGGAGGCGTTCCTGTTTGTGCTGGTTTAGCTGGTACATGCTGAGGCCAAGGGAGGTGCGGAGTGGAGGTTCCATCTGCTGTAAGCAAAGTGAATGTTTTCTTCTCGACTATCCAAAAGAGACGTCCTACTATAAACTCAGTACAAAAACCAAGTCGTCCTGAGAGCAGAGCACAAATTCTTTTAATTACACTCTAGAAAAATGTCACCAGTCAATACACTGGATATAGGAAAGGGTCCATCTCCCTCTGCCCCTGAGGAGCCCTAGTCCAGTTCCCTTGCAGCAGTCCCGACAGTCTTGTGTTTCTACGTGCTTTGTGTTTCACGGTTTTTGGTCAGAGCCTTAAAACTGGCCCACATTTCAGAGTACTGATATTTCAAGAAAATAACTGATTCAGTTAAATAACAGTCCCAAGGTAGAACTGGTCTAACAGGTGATGACCCACTTACACTTGGAGCCTGCCTTTCTGTCTAAAGCCACGGAAACCTGAGAGCCCCCTCCACACATCCCTGGCTTCCCAAGATGCAAGACATCTTCTGACAGGTGGCCGCAGGCCCACACAAGTGGAACCCCTACTAAAAACATCTTCAAACAATATTCCTACCAACGAGGTTGGTTGGCGGGCATCTGTTAAGCCCCTGAATTGGTCAGCACAGATTATGTGCCCATTGCCAGATCTCAACAATATTCAGTTACTCTCACCTCATTCTCAGCACAAGAACAACTCTCTCTGGTCTGAGGGTCCTGGGAAGAGCACACAGACACAACGCCCTCGGGGAAGAAATGAGCGTGCTCTCAACACTGATCAACAGAACTTGGCTGCACAACTCCCAGGTCTAGCTCGCCCCACCCCTTCAGAAGTGACTCAGAACTACACAGCCACACCTGCCGAGGGACGACCAGACCGTCACCTAGAGCTGCCCATCTCTGAACACAGAACATCATCAACACCTCCGCCTGCGGTGCACTGTGCTCGTGGGTGACTCCAGGGAGAAGGCAGAGGGGAAACAATGTTTTAAACCAGGACAGTGGGAATCTAAATGCTGGAAGAGGCAAGGTCTGCTCACCTGGAGACCTGTCTGAGCCTTGCTTAGAAACAACAGTACCCTCCAGCCCCATGGGAAGCACTGTGAGGGCTGAAGTGGTTTGGCCGTTCTTGGGCATTAAATGGCTAAACAGGCTGACTGGTGACGGGAGACAAAGGGAGCAACAGCTAAAAGTAAGAACATGTAGGTGGCAGAGAAGCTGGAGACAGGGGCCGCCTGGCAGGGCTGCAGGCTGACACCCCCACGGACACAGTTACATTCACTGGCTCAAACAGAAAAGGAAACAAACTGTGTCAGGGGGAAAAAGCCACCCTGTAGTCTTTCAAAACAATGTGCATTCTCTCTCGGCCTTCTTTTACCATTTTAAATCCATGCCGTGTGAATGCAGGCCTAATTTGTCCAGTGAATTCTATGCAAATGTTTCATGACACTGCTATTAACAGAACAATATGTACCTGGGACACACTGCTCATATCCAGGGGGTGGAAGGAGGGGAGGGCAGGAAGCAGAGAGGAGCCGCCTCCTTTCCTGCTGTGCTCTTCAGATCTGCGGGTGGAGCCTGAATACACAGCAGATGGCCCCCTCCCCAGAGGCAGGGGTAGAGTCCTCCACCCCTCCCCAGCCTCTAGGAACACTCTTCCTTCCCCCAGCAGGCACTCGAGTTATTATGCATCTAGACATATGGATATACACAAGGAAGCCCCAAGAAGTCAAGCTCGAGGGCTGGCTCCTCACAGAGCCAAACTCAGCTGAGGAAGCAGTATATGCCCCCACCCTACTTGGCTACAAAGTTCAGAGCTGAGGTCTGAAAGAACCACACTCCAAGGGAGTGGTGGGGGAGCAGTAAGGCCATGTGCTCTCCCCTTTCTTTCTCCGGCATTCCTGGAAGCTGGCCTCTACTCCTTGGGGATCTCAAACATGCAGAGGCTCTTGTACTTCTGCAGAAGTTCATTCTTGGTCCTGACTTGCTCCCGGAGGCTGTGCAGCTGGTGCTGCTGCTGCTCAGGGCTCAGGTGGATGCCAGGCATGGTGCTAATGACCTTGCGCATCTCCTGGAACTTGGTTTTGAGGGCGTTCAGGTCCTGGTGGATGTCCGGGCTGTCTTTGTCCATGCTGCAGGGGGCAGAGGGCAGTGGTTAGCAATCACAGCTCAGAGTGAAGCAACACCTGGTTTCCCTCCTGCGCACCCACAAAACTTGCCATCTATTACCATTATTTTAGAATGCCTTCTTGGGCCGGCCCTGTGGCTTAGCGGTTAAGTGCACGTGCTCCGCTGCTGGCAGCCCGGGTTCGGATCCTGGGGGCGCAATGACGCACCACTTCTCCGGCCATGCTGAGGCCGCATCCCACATACAGCAACTAAGAAGGATATGCAGCTATGACATACAACTATCTAAAGGGGCTTTGGGGGAAAAAATAAAATTATAAAAAATAAATAAAAAGGGGTAGTTTCTAAAAAAAAAAAAAAAAGAATGCCTTCTTTTCTGTGTCTGTCCCCTTACTAGGCTGTGTACCCCCGGAAGACAGGGACTAGTTCTTTCTTATGCAGCCTTAGGGCAGGCATGTGATAGCTGCTCAGTACAAGAGCCCCTGCACCTAGCGGTCTGTGCAGCCCCTCATAGCACACTCGCAGAATTAGGTGCTTGGAGGGCACGGACTGAGTCTGCCTTGTTCACAGCTGTATCTCCAGCTCCTAGCTAGTCCCTGGGCACTGTAGGTACTCAAGTAACATTTCTTGAAAGAGTGAATGCTTGGCAAATAAGTTCATAAATGTCTGTTGAATGAATGAACAAACCATTACCAATATCAGGTGACAAATGGCAAGCAAAACTTGCTAAAATACTACATTTCTTCTATTTTGAGCCATTTCCAGGCCAATTAGGAGACTTGATTAGCTAGCAAGAGCTAACTTTAGCTGATATTTTGATGCTTGACACTGTTAACGTAAAGACTAATTTCCACAGAGCTATTCATAAATTTTACGTTAGTTACAAGCTACTGGAAATCTTCAGCAGGTGCGAGCTCTCTCCCACCAGAGTCATGCAAACTCCTTGCCTTCAGGTCAAGCTCACTTTAAAGGCAGGATCATTTACTTCATCTCACAGCTATTATTAGCTGCCCGGAGATCCATGCTCCTCTATCACTCCTAGATTAAAAACAGAAAGGACAAAAACGTTCACCTCAGATCAAAGAAACGGCCTGCCAGTTGCTCTTATGCATTTTTTAAAAGTTAGTAAGTAGATGAGCTTTTGAAAACAAGCAGTTGAGACTAAAAACGAAAATTCAGTAGGCTGTTCTTAAAGTCACCCATTGAGGCGAAGAGGAGAAAACTGTCAATGTTCAGTTATTTTTTTTAAATAAGTGTTCATCCCTGATGCGAAATTTCAACCCAGATGGTGCTAATTCATGTTTATTATTCATCATTTCTCTGCTTACGCAGACAGAATATCCATCTTTCCTGGAGATCCATCGGTTAGGGCTCATACCTGGCAAACGAGACAGCCACCAGGGCCTGCTCACTATTTATCAATAGCTCTAACTCAGACGCAAGCTACGGAGAATCAATCCTTTATTCTAGGGAACAAACGGCTAGCCAAACATTTCTTGTTGTCATCTGATGCCCTCCATTTAGACAGACCCTGACAGCATACCTTACGCAGGGTCTAGGGAGGAGTAAGCAGCACTCATGAGAACTACGAATCACTTAGAAGGAAGCAAATAGGCAGCATCTTTTATTTTAATTCTTTTAGGTCTCAGCTCAGATCCACAATTCTGGACAGAAACCATCTGGACTTCTGAAATCATTATACTCGGACAGCATATGTGTTAACACACTGTTACAGATCTAAGTCCCAAGGGAGTTTTGAAATTAAAATATAGTTTTAAGAAAATGGATTCACATCACTTGAATCTGAAAGGACACAATAAAAACAAACAAAAATACATAAAATAAAAATTTGGAAGGAAGTCATGATAATCTATCTAGTTATGGAAGCAAACAAAACCTGGCCCAAAAGAAGATTTAATTCTGAAAGTAAAAAGTGGGCCATGTTTAAGATGACCATTTCTGAAAACCCCCAAATCTCAAGGGCTGTCCATTCTTTACCTGGTTAACTTTTGGTCTTCAGATAAAAAAGAAGGAGCCATATGAAAAGCCCACCTGGAGGGGAGCTGAGCTGAAAGGGGGCCATGCAGCCCACAGTGAGGCCCACTCTGCAAAAGCTTCACAGCCTGCTCTAGTTGGTAGAGGTAAATAACGTGGAACTCCTGGGGCGAGGAAAACACTCTATTCAGGAACCGGCTCAAACCAAGTGGAAACCTGCTAGGCCAGGATGACTGTGAAATACTCAAGCCAAAAGAAAAGAGACAGGCCCAGATACCAAGGGAATAAAAGCAGAAAGCTCCAAATGGGCCTGCCTTTGTGTTCAGTGTTAGTCATCATCCAACTTTAGAAGGAAAAAAAAAGGAGACTAGGCCAGGACGGGAAGCACAAAAATCACACAAACAAGGGCAAGGTTAGGGCACGCTGGTCCGGCCTACCACAGTTTTTAAAAGGTGGACAAATACACTGCAGTGGCTTGACTGACAGGCCACTTCCTGACAGTCTTTTGTGCACACCCTGGGTGATACTTAGCATCATTTCCGCAGTGGACACAGACGTTCTGCATTTGCGTCACGAGACTCTGGGCACACATCAGAGGTTTAGGTGGGGAGTCTAAGAATGATGCCTAGTGTAGGTGCGAAGTACAGCACAGCTTTCGTTTTCAGTATAGGTGCTTTGGGACTTGAAGATGCAAACTGGCAACAACTGAGCAAGCGTGTCCACTGGTAACCTAGAAGCAAAAGGAACCCACCAGGTCACAGAAGCCCATCTCCTCCTAAACCTGAGAGTCACTTCTTTTGACCTCACGGTGGCATCTAACTCGGTTTCCCATTTCTTTCTCCTCAAAATTTTCACCCCCCTGGCCTCACGCCCCCACTGTCCTAGCTGATCTGCCCTGGGACTGGTCCTTCTCACCCTCTCCTCCTCCCAGGCTAACTTCAGTGGCTGCCATTTTTTTTAAATAGCGTTTTTTTTTTTTTTATGACAGTAATAGGTGCTTGAGGGAAAAAATTTAAAAATGACAGACACTCAAGGCTTAGAAAAGGAAAGTCCTTCTAACCCCACGTCCCAGAGATAACCTCTGTTAACATGTGGTCCCTATTCTTTCAGATTACTTCGAAATACACAGTAACATGCAAATACAGTTGTTCCTTGGTATCCGAGGAGGACTGGTTCCAGGAGCCCCGTAGATTCAAAATCCGCAATGCTCGAGTCCTTTATATAAAATGGCATAGTATTTGCAAATAACCTACGCACATCCTCCTGTGTACTTTAAATCATCTCTAGAATACTTATACTACCTAATACAATGTAAACAATACGTAAATAGTTGTTACACTGTATTGTCAAGGGAATAACGACAAGGAAAAATGTCTGCACACATTCAGTACAGACACAGTCATCCCAGGCCTTTCAATCGAGGTTGGCTGAACCCAAGGAGGTGGGACTGCGGATACAGAGGGCCAGCTGTACACACATACTTCTGTGTTATTTTGACAAAAATGTGACCATACTACACACATGGTTCTATTCTTGCTTTTTGCCCTTAACAATGTTCCTTGGATGTCTTTCCATGTTAACACATATACAACTATACAGCTAAATTATTTGGCTGTTGATGGGTATTGGATGTTTGCAATTTATCACTTGCAATCAGAATGACTACGAACATTTTGTACCTCTAACTACATGTACCTGTGTAAGACACTTACTAAGATAATTTCCTAGAAGTGGGATTTCTGGGTCAAAGGTTATGTATATTAAAATTTTTGACAGATTATCAAAATGCCCTCCAAAAAAAGTGTACTGATATACACTCCCTGTGGCCATGGACACAACACTGTCCCTCACACCCTCGGCTATTACTCATCCAGTGGCCGTCTGCACTCCTCTCCAGGTCTGCCAGCACCTAAGGCCTCTGGGAGAGGGGCTTTGAAGCTCAAAGGCTCGCTTTATCTGCTCACAGGGTTACACATGAAAAACAATCTTTGCAGGGAGGAGTAAAAAGTTCTGCTGCTAAAAGAAGTTTGGAAATGACACTGCTCTACAAAATCGCCCAGAATGTGTTCATCCGCCCCTACCTCTTCTGACGCTGAGAACTCCTCTAGCCCAGCCCTCCGTCCTGAATTTCACCTCCCTGGTCCCAACCGTTACCAAGTGTTTTTTCCTTGGAGCCTGGGAGACCTGCCAATGCCCAAAGTGGACTCCCTGCCTCCTCAGCACGCCCCCCTTAGATGGGGGCACCCCCCTCATGAGTGGGGCAAACTAGAAGGCCGCACTCCCACTCGCACCTGTGTGCCCCGATGGTCACCCAGCCACAAGTCCCACCACCTCCTGCTACATACTCAAGTACCCCCCGCCACCGCCTCCTCCTCCCACTGTCGCCCAGGTCCTGTCCTCCTCCTAAACCCCTCTGCCCCACCTACCTTCACAAAACCCAAGTCTGAGCTCAAAAACTTCAGATGCTTCCTGTGCTCCCAGACAATACCTGCCAGGCAGGTTCACACTGCGAAGGTGGCCACCCAGGGCCACCCACAAGCGGCCTCTAATCTTTCCAGGCTCAAAGTCCCACTCTTCCCAAGACCCGGCGCAAACGCTCCATCATGGTATTTCTGATGCTGCACTAAGTAACGGCTGACCCAGGTACCTGCCTTCACGGAGCCTGTGTTCCAGCGGGTGTTCAATTAAGTTATGCTGAATGAACAGGGGTGAAGAGGCAGAGCAGACCCGAAATAATCCTGCCAAACAGTTTACAAATATTCCCCATCTGGGCACTCATCCTTTTCACTGGGACTTGGCTTAAGAAGAAAGTGAACAGCAGCAAGCCAGCCCTGATGGCCTAGTGGTTCAAGTTCGGTGTGCTCTGCTTCGGGGGCCTGGGTCTGGTTCCCAGGCACAGAACCACATCACTTGTCTGTCAGTTGCCATGCTGTGGTGGTGGCTCACATAGAACTAGAAGGATTTACAACTAGAATATACAACTATGTACTGGGGCTTTGTGGGGGAGAAA